ATGGCCCAAGCAGGCAACATCAAGTGGTTGTAATAGATGTGAAGAATGTGGTGGTAAATATAGAGGAATGATCATATTCTCAGTGCAGAATTAATCAAATTCAGCAGATGTATGGCTGCTATGGCCATCAAGAATCAGCAGGCAATATCTGCCTGCTGTACAAGCTTTAGTATGCTTATCAAAGACATTTCTTAGGCAAAGCATCCATAGCTTATTAGTGGTCCATCCATTATTGCTAGTCCCAATTGCCCAACCCTTTGGTAGATCTAGATACCAATTAGATTGGTGATTCTTGCTAGCAAAGATGATCATTGGGGGTAGGGCCCAGCCAGCTGCGTTGACTGCCTCAATCACAATCACCTATTCTTGATTCCCTGGTTATATTACTTTAGGCTGGCCCCTAGATTCAGAGCCAGTAACAACCTTTGCTGTTGATATCATGCCTATTGAAAAGCCAGTCTCATCAAAGTTATAGATATCCTGTTTAGTAATGCCATATTTTTGTACAACCTCAAGAACACGCTGAAACCACTCTTTAATAAGCTTTAGATCCTTACATAGAGCCTGTTGATGATCATATCTGCAGCTATTTTTGGATTTGAGCTCGTGGTGGCGATTGATAAATCTTTGGATCCAATACTGGCCAACAGTAGCTGGTGCATTTAACCAGCTAGATAGTAATAGACTGGCCATATCTCATATAATGGTGATTTGTGGTGGTAGTCCCTGTTGGTCTATAGATAATATCTATTTGGCAAGCATAGATTCTTCAGCGGTAGTAAGCTTTTTGCTGTTTGGTGTTGCATCTACACATGCAGTACGCCCACATAGCGTGGTAGAGTGTTGGATGTGGCATATCATATGCCTATGCAGCAGCCCGTATGCTTTTAAATTGACCATCATTGAAAGCTTTAATTGCAAGCAAGATACGGCCCTCTTGATGAACTGCTGAATCTGCTATTTTGCATGGCATTTTGGTGGTTGAAGTTGATGAGCATGTCGCGTAGTTTGGTGGGGTGTTTCGCTCGGTGATTGATTACGTTATGACATCTCACGTGTACCTTCCTTATTTGGAAAGGACTCAGTTTGTCTACTACTGAGGTCGGTGATGTCTTTGCAGGTCTCTTTCTTTCTCTCTCTGCCTTCGAATCTCGCTCATCGACCGATATGGGAGTCATGGGTTGCTTTCCACGCGGTCATCATGAATTGCAATTCCGTCTGCATACGCCAAGCCAACAGGGGCCTTATCTAAAAGCATGCGATAGGTGGATGGGCGCTGCTGCCTAAATGCGGCTGCAGGCGTATATATGAAAGTGAGGTCCTGCATTGTTAATGTTCCCTCTATCAATTGACAAAAATCATAGTACATATATATAATGTGTACATCTGAATGCTCACAATGGACCACTCCCATCTCAATCCGCCCTCATTTTCCACCTATCTGGACCAACTCCAGAGCCCGCTTTTCTCAGTTCTCCCAGCCGAAGTCCGCAGCGAGATCTTCGCTTTCGCGCTGACGGACTTTGAAGATTTGAGTGTCCCGTACAGCAAGGAGACCTGCTATCGACGCCCCGGATACGATGCCCCCCGTCGTACCCGGACCGAATTGTTGCGGACATGCAAAAGAGTCTTCCAGGAAGCGTGGTTTATGCCGTTCGCCTACGCTGAACACGCCCTGTATCTGACCAGCCCAGATCGAGCGCCAAGGCGGCATATCACCGTCGAAAGAATGCAGCGCTACCTCGACATCCTGCATGCCTCGCGGAGGGAAGACGTCAAGATCAACCACGCCCGGATCTTTGCCCAGTTGTGGGCCCTCGAGCCTGGTGATCGGCTGCAAAGGGTCTTGAATATGCAGCACTTTTACCCAAGGAGAATCACTATCACGCTGCGGTACACAGACTTCTGGTACTGGGAAGCCAACGAACCGCTCCGGGTGGCAGCGAAATGGGTGAACATCTGCCGGTTTCCAAACAGCCTCACCAGGCTGAGCATAGACTTCGAGAGCATCGAACGTCGTAAGGAGGAAGTCAATTACATCGCCAAAGAAGCGGCCGAACGGTGGCATTTCAGACGGCAGGATGGGACCGTCTTGTCTGCCTGTCAGGCCGAAACATCGATCATGAAATGGACCGGCAGCTCGATCTGGGGAGGCCAGCGCTGGATCCGGGACGAGGTCCGCCCGAACGAGCTCGACTATCACGCTGTGACTGTGACGTGGAGGCCTGCCCCCTCGGACGGAGACGTACCAGAGGAGTGTCCTGACCTTTCTGTCCCACGGACGTTCCCAAGACCGCCGGTTCCTAATCCTAACCGCGGCGAGGCATGGCTTGAACTGGACGATTTGCGCGCTGCCAATGTGCCGCCCGATGCGACGGCGGACGAGGCCTATGCCGCTATTGTGGAGCTTCACAGGCAGAGGCAAAGAGCAAGACGCGTTCGATGAAGAATCGCATGATCATGTCGTCGATTATTGAAGAAGCAGTGCCTGTACAAGCTGTTCTCCACGACATGATACCCCTTACAAGCACTCTCATTCTTGAGTCTGTAGGGTTTGTTGCATTAGAAGGCTGGGAACCATTTTTCTGCCATGTTAGCAGATTCTAAAGCACTTTGTCACACGAATTGAGTTTTGTATTGCACATATGTCCAGACGTACATATAACGAACCATTTTCGGCATATTGATACTACAGTGGAAGGAATTTGACGAGTTACCTCGAACATGTCCGAATTGATTATCTAGTTATAGTGAGAACTTCATGTATCAAGGTTCTGGCATACACTATTGATGCAGGTTCGGTTACATGATGGTCTATTCTCAGGTAAGTCATGCTTATATCTCTTATACTATGCCATATAACTAGTTAACAGGTTAAGTGCAGTCATTATCCAACAATTGAATGAGACTCAGCCATATCAATGTTTCTTTCTGCTCTAACTTTAAAACCTCGAAATATCGGTCCCAAACAGTCGGTTCACAATCCACCGGAACAAAATCCGACAGCGGTTGCGCCAGCTGAGACTCATGCTCAGATACGCAAGCTTCCACACCAACCAGGCTGTCCGCCCCCGGAGACCCTCCGGCAGGTAGCCATTGATCTTGCGGGCGCCGTTGTTCCACCGATCGTGCGGGATCTGCATCAGCGCGTTGGCGTCGCCGATGTACGCCAGCATGCCCATGTTGCGGAACGAGAAATTGTCAGTCTTCTCCAGGTCGCGCTTGTTCAGCCGCTCAGCCAGCCATTTCGCCTCCTGTTTCGCCGCCTGCGCCGTCATCGGCGGCGCCCCCGTCTCCAGCATCGCGTTGTCACCGATCGCGAACACGTCCTGCAGCACGGCCGTCTGGCCCTGCTCGCTCTCGAGCTGCACCCGGAAATGCCCGTCCACAAGCAGCGCGCCCGTTCGCGGCGCCTTCTTGACGTGCCATGCGCCGCTGCTGCTCTCGGCGACGGCGGACGGCGGCTCGCCGCTCTTCAGCACCACGGACGACGTCGGGAACTCCTTCACGACGTCCAGGGACTTGATGAACTTGTTCATCGCATTCCCCGTCGCCCACACGCACAGGCCCACGCCCACTTCACCCTCCTCCTGCGTCTTGAGGGTCAAACACCCCTTGGGGTCCATCTCATGCGGCCCGTCCGTGTAGGGAACGCCCCAGCGGAGCTCCTGCACGTGGTGTGCCGTTTTGATCTCAATGCCTTCCTTCCGCATCGTCTCCATGGCGTATCGAGACAGCGACTCGTCGAACATGCTCAGTACTTTCGGCGCAATGTCGTACAGCGTGATGCGCGCCTTGCCCCTCAGCGCCGGGTAGAGCCGGTCCATGTCTCTGACGATAAAGTCGCGCAGCGTGGCCGCCAGTTCGGTGCCCGTCGGGCCGGCGCCGACAATGGCGAAATGCAGCAGATACCGCTGCATCTCCTCGCTCGTCGTGGGCAGGATGGCCAGCTCAAAGCACTCGCGGACCCGGCGCTTGACGCGCTTCGAATCGCCCACGTCGCGGAAGAACATGGCGTTCTCGCGCACGCCCGGCGTGTTGAACGTCTGACTCATGCACCCGACGGCGATGACTAGCTTGTCGTACGGGATCTCAAACCGCTCGGCCTCCTCCCACTGGCGGAGATGCTCTTTGCCGCGCTTGGAGCCCGTATCAGGCCCATCGTCGATCTCTCGCTCGGGCTCGTCGACGCGCGGCTGCTCCGTGACGCCGCTCCGGACGATAGTCGGCTCGCAGATGACGACCTTCCGCTTGAATTCGACGGCGCGGGCCGCGGCCTGGACGAAGTCGACGCGAGTCTTGAGGTCACGCACGGGCTCGACGATGCTGGAGAAGTCAAGGTTTCCGGCCGCGGTCGCGGTCAGGAGCGGCGTGAAAACGAAGTACGACCGGGGGGAAACGACCGTGCACGAGTACTGCTCGTCCGACAGCCTGCGCGAGAAGATGTACCCGCCCCAGCCGGACCCGAGCACGACGACCTTTTCGCGGGCTGCTGGTCGGGCGACATCGGGGATTGCGCTCGACCCGCGAGTCGAGACGACCTCAGCGCGTCTGGCAGTAGTTGTGGTCAGGAAGCGCGGGCAAGTTTTTCTCCCCCGTGAGGAGACCTGCGCTGGAGCGCGAGGAAACAATAATAAGGATAATGGTGATGATAATGAAGGTAGCGACTTCATGTGACAGGAATTGAATTGAAGTGAACTGATTCAACTGAACTGGATTGAATTGAATTGAACTTGAAACCTGAAATCAATCAATTGAACGAAATACAAAGAATTTAGTATAACTAAGAAGAAAGGAGGGAAAAGGAGAATCCCCGTAGAATGAGAACGATTTATAAATTTGTTTCGTACAGAGTATGTTTTGTACAGTACGTTTAGTAAGTAAGTAGTTAGTCATTCAATACAACAATACAATATTAATAATAATATTAGAACAGAATAATTATAGAATCAATTGCATCTGCATCCTGTATTCGCGTATGGATTTGTATCATTGCTGCGCTGCCCTGTGCTGTGCTGTGCTGCCCTGTGCTGTGGATGCTGAGTTGAGCACATGATGACCTCATAATTATTGTATCGGCGTACCCGGTCTGAACCTGTCCACTTGTCTTCTTTGCCCGACGGTAAATGAATGGCCCCTTTTCCCTGTCTTTTTCTTTACGTGCACTTGATCTGTACATTTCCTGTAAATCTGCAGTACGGAGTAGTAGGCAAGGCAGGGCAGGGCAATAGTATGTGCTGTACACGTATGTATGTATCCACAGCCACAGGCTATTAGTCGTATGTATTAATAATACCTAGTCGATGATTGACAGGGTGGATATTACATTAGTACCTTACTCCGTAGTAGGTAGTATGTAAGACAGTGGAGCATATATAAATCCGCGCCCCTCCGCAGGACAAGACGAAACAATATGCATTTCCCGAGTCGAGTCCTCCCGACATTCCTTGAGACTCAAGACTTGACTTGACTCACTAATACTGCGGGAAATAATCCCTAGAAAGATGTATGGATGTATGAACTTCGGAATTAATTGATAATTAAGCTGAGTAATTGATTGATTGATTAACGAGTTTATTGTGTTTATTTAACTAACTAATCATCCATTGTATGCCGTACATACATACCTATTTGGGTAATTTGCTCCTATCGGATGTGACTCGAGACTCAGACCAGTACATGTACAGTATGTACATGAACCTGTCATTGCCAGAAATGGCTACATACGACTCGCTCGGAGGACTTCGTACTATCCTCGTTGTCCATTGCAGCGAAGATCGGATTCTTGGAACAGTATACATAAAGGCTAGCCGAGGAGTACATCCGGATGGCCCGCAAGCAATCAACCTGATCATCGGCGTACCCAGCAAGACTCCCAAGACAAGGGGCTTTTTGCGGCATTTTCGGGACGGTCATCATCTGGTCCCAATCCTCCATAGGGGATAAGTGGTTCTTTCCACCCACTTTTGAACATATATCTGAAGTAGGGCGAAGCCAACATTTAAGTGACTCGAAAAGGAGACTCGCATCTGTACTCCTTGTTTGTTGTTTCAGTTATCACCAACAATGTCGATGTCTCATCTCTCATAGCGCAGGGGATTCTGGAATGAGCACCGTGGCGTCATTATTATCTGCGGTGGGAGAAGCCTGATTTAAGGGGTTCAACCTGTTCCCATGGAACTAAATTCCCCTGGCGTGAGGGTCTTGTCTTGGTGGCTAGGAACATCATCAAGTTCAGGTTCGACAAGCTTTGATTTCTAGGGGGTCAACAGGCTTCTCCATAGCTGGTTGTCATTTGCTTAGCTTTCTTCAGTTTCATCTTTGTCTTCGCGTTCACTCAAGAAATCTCGCTCTGGAAATAGAGATTGGGAATAATGAGTTCTCTCAACTTCTGACATTAGCAAACACAGAGACGCCAGAGGCGGATTTTCTGAGCTTTTCATCCCAAACAGCGATGATTCTGCAAGACTAACACAACCTCATGAAGTTTTCTCCATCTTGTGGATAGCTGAGGTAACATCAAGAGTAAGGTAATGTTTTTTGGTGTTTCAGGAAAATGACTGTGAACTTATAATAATAATAATTGAACAGTTAGGCAAGCTGCAGGTCATGTCAGACTGTCATAGTTGTCTGTCATAAAACACAAATTCACACTATTTCATTGCATAACTTATCTGAAAGGCCTAACCAACATGACAGATATCGACACGTTGCACCTCAAAGTATGGATTGTCTCAGGGTTCCCTTAGCCCATGGATGTGCTTTGCCCTACAATGTCAGGTCAAAATTCGGTCTGATTTCCAGTAATTTCTGGACCTCCGATCTGGAGCACAGCTACCCAGCATGTCAACCAGCTATCACACGCCTTCTCTCTGTGTACCCTAGGCATGGGCACAAGGCCTTCCGAACATCAACGTATTTATTCCTCTCATTCTGGCTTTCGCCCATACACAACATAGCTGCAATCATATCAGCTGCACGACTTCTGGGTAAATAGGGCATTAATATGGGACGTACAAGTCAAATAACGCATGGATGTTGCGATTATGAGCGTCCTCCTTTGTCTTGGCCGCCAGCACAGCAACTTCTTCTTTGGACCAGGCTTCATTCCGGGTCAGGACAGCCATGGCCCCAGCCTCGTAGGCTTGGTCCCCTTGCAGCATCATCCAGGTTCCAATCTTTTTCTGAAGCAATTTTTCATATTAGCTCGATAATACCATTATACCAGGCAGAAAGAAGTAACGGGGGTGTACGAACGTAATATGGATCTTTTGGCCAGGTACCCATCGGGGCGCGATACTTATGAACGTGGATATCCACGAATCCTGCCTCTCGGAACCACTGTTCCAGATGTGGTCCCGGGCTGCCTTCGTAGCCATTCTTGTAGAATGCGCCAACCATTTCATTGAAATACCGCTCAAAGGTGGTACCTTTTAAACTTCCATCCTCGGAGTAGGGATACTGGTTCCAGTCTTGGAATTCGACCCAGCCACCAGGTTTTGCATATCTAATTATAATCAATTGTTAGCCTGTATAAATATCGATCGCGTAGACCAGCTAGGACTGTTGTAGTTTCGTTCTTTACCGATAACACTGTTTAATCAATCCGGGATAATTTTTCATCGACAATGCGAGGTACCGGGCGTGGATGAAGTCAAAAGGGACGTCGTAGCCCCATTCGGCTTCGATATCGTCGACCACGAATTTTAGATTGGGGGGAACCCTAAGGTAGAGGAGATATCATGTTAGCTTTGGCTGAGCAAATCTGAGACATGTGATGGCACTGACAAGCGCGGTTGCGTGGGACTCAGGTCACATCCGATGACCTATCCTCGATCAGTTCCAGATCACTTAAGGGCGTTATGGTGCTTGCCTCAGCAGATGGGAATCGATCGGCTGGTATGACACAAGTGGTGAGCATACTGTACGAAATCCGGTATAGGATAACGGATAACATACCGAAATCCATCGCCCATATCCCGGTCCCGGTCCCAAGATCTATGACTCGCTGGGGATTCTTTATCGGGGCAAGAAACAATTCCCTGTTCATCATAGTGAGGACCATTTCATGGACCATGTCGAGACGATCGGACTCGGTCTCGTCGTTGGGCAGGAGGTAGCCTGTTGTTTGACGTTTTAATCTTGTTGCCAAAGCTGTAAGATAGTATACATGCTTACTCCCATCTCGAAAGCCATGATACCGTCTGCCGTTCTCGTATCGGTAGTCCAGGACGGAAGATGTCAGGGAAGCAGTATAGGTTGATCTATATACCAAGTTAGAGGCGCTCTGGTGATGATTATTGTATAGTAGCAATGAGAGGAAGGTTCTGACTTACAGTTCGTCACCGTAGGAAGAGTCACTCTCGGTGACCTGGAGTCCAGTCCCGTCAGAAAAGGATCAAGTGGGATGGTTTTCGCTTTGAGGTTACGGGCCTGCGTGTCGACTTCGACTGGAGCAGGATCGGTCGGATTATTAGGATTTCCGGGATTGTTGGGCGCCATTTTCGAAGGGAATATCAATCTTGCGGTTAGGTAGGTATGATGATGAAAGGGTAGGTTTTGAGTTGGGGGGTACGGAGTAGATAGCGCTATTATATTAGCCATTGTAACGAACCGACGACTGCGCAGGTGCTCTTACCAGATAAAACAATTACTTATTTAGGTAAGTACTAGTGTTATAACAATCCCCGCTTCTTCTTCCCTGCGGAAGCATGATAACGCTTCCGCGGGAAACACATGCACCATGTGGGGGGTTGACATCGATGGGCATATGTTACACCTATCATATTCACGGGAGATCTGCAAAACCACTGCCAATTCCATAGGAAATAAGTCAGCAGGCATTCCGAGGAACTTCCATGATTTGCGGAGCAAAACGAAGCAACATCTAACGGTCTGCACTTTTGATCTGATTGGTAGAAATTCATCACGTGACTGTGACTTGGTTTGATATGATTGGTTGAATTTTGTGACGTGAGTGTCCAGAACTACCACCTCCTTCCTCACTTGTTATATGGAGCCCAACCTACAAGCCTACCTACAAGGCTATAAGGCTATAGGGAGGCCTATAGAATATCATAAGGGAGCCATATGAAGCCTACACAGAGCCCCTACTGAGCCTATAGGGGAGCCCACACAGAGCCTACAAGGGAGCCTATAGGAGCCTATACAAAGCCTGGAGCCCATATGGAGCCCATATAGAGCCTATAGGGGAGCTAACATAAAGCCGATAGGGTGCCAATATGAAGCCTATATGAAACCTACATAGAGCCTGACGGGAGCCTATGCTGATTGGCTGAATGCCATTACTAAGCACTTCCCAAGGACATACGAAGTAGACGCCCTAGGAATGTATTTTTATCACGACATTAACTAGTCATGCAACCAGCAGAAGAAGAAAATCCATCCATCAGATAAGTGACTTTTCTTCCATGATGATCTTCTTGAAGACTTTTGTGAAGGCATGTTTGAATGTGTGAATGTGACTCAATATTGCTTGGTGCTCTTACCAAAGGAAATGTATATATACGCGACATCTTCCAATCTCCAAGGGGGTATGACGGAGACTACCTTACGGGATCCCGGGGTTTCAAAACTACCGTCAGGTGACAGTATTTAAGGGTTTTTATACCACTTTATAGGTTTTTTAACCATCTTTTTATAAAAGAAAGAAAAAAGTCTAAAGATAGTCATTTGACGGTCTTTTATTACAAAATGTTAGATTTTTATAAAACGTTAGATTTTAAGAAACGTCAGATTTAGGGAAAAAAAAACGTCAGATTTTAAAGAAAACATCAGGTTTGGCAGCACCTAAGAAAATATCTCTTAACCACAACCCTAAAAATTTAGATAGCTTAGACAGCCTAGTTAGATTAGTATAGAAATAATGGAAAACCTCATTTTCTTCTTAAAAGGTAGAAGCTTTAGTTTAAATCCAGCCTTTATTGAATAATTCCTTCGTCGTGGAAAAATTAGTGGTCGTAAACTAATTAATGGTCAAATCTTAGTCATAAAAATAAGGAAAAGGTTATTATTTTTAAGACGTCTGTCTTTTTCTTTTTAAGACGTTTGATTTTTTTTATAGTCTAGCGAGTATCTTTTATTTTCAGACGCCTAAATTTTTTCATACGGTCGATAGACCGTCGATCGACGGTAGTTCAAAGCCCCGGGATCCCGTATGGTATATTAGCTGTAGTTCCTATTGTCTAGCACGTCATTGTAGTCTTGGGGCCCTTATTCGTCCAATCACTGATACATAGCTTGGAAGCTAGTACCTATGATTGGATTAGCGCTGGGAGATCTTGACAGAAGCTAACAGGAATTGTTTTTATCATCTCAGTCTAATCGAGCAACGTGTATATAGAACAGCATTCTCATCTACTCATCACTCATCAATCATTCATTCCTGCTCTCTTCGAGCAAGTCTTGATCATAGTTCGGTTGAACTAAAGGCATCCGGACGGCAAAAACCGCCGCCGCAGCCAGAGACAACAGCGCTCCCGCCACCAAATATGGCAACCCCATCAACGCTCCACCGACCCTCATGCCCGCGTGGAAACTGCTCGACACGATCGGCCCGTTGGCCAGCTTGCCGATCGTCTCGCTCACTGCCATGGCGTTGTACAGCATGCCGACATGACTCGACTCGACCAGCGAGGTAGCCACGCTGAGAACGACAGGGACAAATCCTTGGCCCAGGACGAAGAGCGTTAAACCTGTCTAAATCAGCATCGCTCGACACATTGTCAGAGAAGTGAAGAACTAACCTGCCACCATCAAAGATACACTGGGCGACAGACCAATACCAAACACCCCCAAGGCCATGGCCACGGCACTTCCGCGCGCCAGCCAGAGATCCTTGGTGCGCGCATCGCGGCCGTGTCGAAGGATGAAGTCGCTGAGTCCCGGGAGGATACTGGTCAGGAGGATGAGGTTGAGCATGGCACCGTAGGAGAGCAGGAATTCAGCCTAAAAATCAACTGTCAGTTCTGACAGCAGCAGACCCACTAATTATGAATGACGTACCTGCGACTCGCGCCAGCCGTACCGGCTCGACACGTACTGCGGAAGGTATTCTTCTATCGACGACCAATACAACTGCCCCAGCAACGACCGGTACAGCGTGCCTACCGCTGACCGGTACAGGATGCCTACGAAGAAGACCAGCGCTAGCGGGATCGGCTGTCGTGATGCCCAGAGGAACCGCAGGTCCTGCAGTCGTGACATTAATCCCGCAATCGCCCGTCTCCAGATAGTGTTTTTCAAAACATCATCATTAAGAACGACCGGATCGTCTTCGTCGTCCTCCTCTTCGCCGTCTAGTAGGGTACCCTCTGCCACATCGCCTGGTTTCGCATTGCTGCTAGCCTTGTGCAGCTCCACGGTTTCTGGGAGGAATATCCACGCCGTCAAGACGGCAATAAAAAGCGCCGCCAGCCCCAGTCGAGCAAACCACCAGGCTTCGAGCTGCATCGAAGTGAGAGAAGATATGAAGATCTCGGCCATCAGGGCGACGGCGTGGAGCCAGATGAAGTTGGAAGCCCTGGACATCTCAGCATATATAGCGAACCTAAAGGCCTCGTCTTGCTGCTCACCTCTGCTCCTCCGACGACACATCGGAGGCGACAACAAATATCATGGAAATTCCCACGATGGGCCCGCCGCCCGCCAGCAAAAAGACCGATGACAACCATGTCAACTTGACCGGGAAGACATCCGACCACCACACTAAACCATCAACATCAGGATCTGTCTGGTGAGTTTGGGGATACTGGCAACGTACACACTATCTGAGTCCATGCGGTTCCCACAGTAAGCCCGGCAAGCGCCAGCGCGAGCACGGGGCGGCGGCCATATCGGTCGGCAATGACACCATAGAAGATTCCCAGCAGAATACCTAGATTGTAGCACAGTCAGTCATTTGCACTACCAGCATGGCTTATATATTCTGCCCACCTGGCAGACAGTCAAACAGCTGCTGCCAACCGATCAACGCTTCCAACGCGCTCTGCACCGGTTCCACGCTGCAGTCCCGACCGAGAGACCACCCGGGACCATAGTATGACTTGCACAGGGCCACCTCCTTGAGCTGAGCCAAGGGCGCAACCAGGAGAGCGTTAGCACCTTGGATCAGGACGATGAGGAAGAGGCAGATGTTGAAGACGCGTGCGGGACGAGGTTGCTTGGCTTGATGATCAGCGGAGGCAGCATGGCGGGGGTCGGCCCCTGTGGACGAGAGCAGCGGCTCCCGTTCCGACAGTGCCTGGGAAGTGGACGTCATGGTCTTGAGACCGGACGAGGATGATCCTGCTGCAGCTGCGATGGAAAATAACACATGAGGCACGTCGTGACGATCAAGCGATGATGATAGTTGTGATGATGATGATGATGCTCCGATCGCCAGCGGGGCCAGAAGGGTCCGATCTCCGACGGGAGTTAAACTGGATACGGAGACACGTCAACACTAAGGTAAGGCTACAGAAGTGTCTACGACAATCTACGTAATACACCCAGAAAATACATGTATATCCACTCTTTCGAAGATGAATTCTCCATCGCACCTTAGCGATCACGAATCTCCCAGGAGGCCAGAACTCCCCAAGTCGAACTCCGACCTGGTGTCTGTGTCCTATTCTGGAATAGTGCGGATTAGTCATCTCCACACGTGGACGGTCATCATCTTATCAATCTTCTTTAAGTCCAGACTGACGCGGCTTTGGCTGCCTGGAGGCCTCCCTCCGATTTAATTCGCCCCGGCTGCCATGAATCCCTGTCTTCTTTGCGGGGAATCTTCTCGTCTGTTCCAAACCATAATGGAAACCTGATTTGCGTGTGAGAAGGCAAAGGTGTACGTATGAGGCGCGCGGTGTCGCCATAAAATGGCTGCCTGGTCTGTATACGTAGCATATGCCCGTAGATTCGAGAAGAGAAAGGGGGTAGATAAATAAGAGAATTCTCCTGTCTGTCTGTCTAATTATTTTTTATTTCCGTCTCATCATTAGTGCATAGCTCGATTCCAATAATTTCTCATCTGCTCATCGCTAAACAGTTAGCACATTATCTTGACAAGAAACAGAGAAAAATGGCTTCGATATACTACCTCAATCAACCTCCCCATCCGGCTTGGGATTTCCTCTCCAGTCTCGAAGATCACCCCTTCTTTGCTCCTTTTTTCCGCGGTCCGCTTCATCATCCTCTTCCTCACTTCCATCCTTATGGACATCATGGTCATGGACCTGGTCACGGTCCTGGTCCCCGTCATGAACGCTTCCAGGAACGCTCCGGGAATGAGAATGAGAACGTGAACGAGCAAGCTCCTCATCGGGCAGCTGCCAGTCCTGGCAATGAAGCACAGCAAGACGATCCATCTCAAAGCGATAATGCTGCTCGTCCGACTCGTAGTCTAGGCGAAAATGCAAGAGAAACTTCTCCGGATGGTTTCACTCATGGCAGAAGCGGTTGGTGCCGTGGAGGTCGACATGGTCATCGTGGCTTTTTCCATGGCCGTGAGCACCCCTTCGGAGGATGTCCCGCCGGCTTTGGACCTGGACCTTGCCGCGGTCGCGGACGGGATGGCCCTCACCACCACCGTGGCGGTGGCAGAGGTTGGGGGCATCACCCGCGTGGTCCTTTTGGCGTGCCACCCCCCTTCATCGATGGCCAGTTTGATTTGCACTCCTTCCTCGAACAACTCGGCTCCCAACTAGGTATCGACCTCAACCAGATGTGGAGAGGATACAATCAGAACGACCAAGTGGACTTCGTCCCTCGAGCAGACGTGTTCGACACCCCCGCGGAGTACCTGGTCCATGTCTCCCTGCCGGGGGCGCAGAAGCAGGACATCAGCATCAATTACGATGTCGAAGACTCTGTCCTCCATCTTGCTGGAGTGGTCCACCGACCTGGCATCACTGAAGAGCTGAACGACGCCCTTGTTATCGACGAGCGATCTCGCGAAGTCGGTGTCTTCGAGCGCAACGTCAGGCTGGGCACCCGCAACGAACCCGCCAACGTGGACCCGGACAGGATCTCGGCCAAACTCGCGGACGGCATCCTGGTGGTGCGTCTGCCCAAGGTCCCCGTGGACCCTGAATGGCGCAAAAAGAAAGTGTCTGTGGAGGCGCTGGACGAGAAGGACAACAAGCAGGCGACTGTAGAGGATGAGCCAGATGAGTCAGATGCCATGCACGTGGACAGCGAGACGGAAAAGGGCGATTTTACCGAGGATCACGAGACCATGTTGGGTGAAATCACTCCCACACAGACATCAGAAGACGGAGATTATGACGATGCCAAGGAATACGTCAAAGTGGACGTTGAGTAGACGTCATGTTGCCTTTTGTGAAGAGTTCTGGGTTGCTGTCATACCTAAAGATCTGTTCAGGTTAGTGTTGCGTCTATTATTATTAGTTCATTGCAGTTTGGTTAGTTGTATCGTGATAATGATATGCTCTTGTGACTCTTTTCTCGTCATTCACCGTCCACTTCATTCCATAAGTAGCTAGTTGGACAGTTCTGAGAGACTTCTTGATTGCAATTTTCTAGTATTAATCAACCTCCATCATCTTGACCGTCTGGTTGGCACAGTTCCTAGTGCCTCGGAAATGCGATTTCTTCGCCGTCTTCAAAGTTTCAGAGAGAAAAATTAAATAGAGGATAAGCTGTTGAACCAGAGGTGTATATCTAATTGTATAGTGATGTAAAACGATGGTAGATTGGAGAGGTATAGAAGGAGAATAGTTGCAAACAGACGCTGGTAGGTAAAGAGTCAAAGGAAGCCACTGGTAGCACCGGTAGCAGACTCAATCTGAGGATTGCTTAGGTGCCTACCTAGGGACATGTAGGGAGAGAGTTTCTCCGTACCTCGAGTAGTATGGGTCAAAAAGGTTCGACGTATCTTACTACCCATGTCGATGTTCGCAAATGTCTCAGTTTCATGATCTGCGTCTGACTGCCTAGGCAGGTAAAGGCTCAGTTACAGAATGCCAAAGGAGCCTTATCCGTGACATGGTAGATCTGCCAGCCACAGGCCTGTTCCTGACCCTTAATAGCGGGGCCCGGTGGCACAGTGGAGCCGGACCTGCAACTAAGCTGACTAAGCTCTGCCGTCTGTCTTCTGCCAAGGCGGGATGGCTTGTGGGGAAGCGGAACGAGTGCGACTTGGGGGCAAGTTCATTTCGATTGCACTTCTAGCGATTGCAAGCTTGGCGTGCAGGATCATGTCATGTTTAATTTAAGACTGCTACTAATAAAATAACGTTTCAGTCACCATCAACCTTAAACATGAAAACCTGCCGCCTCGATCATGATCGCCCCCAGGATGCATCGACCGACGTCTTCCCTCTAAAGTGGCAGAGCGGCAGAGGAGGACGCAATGCGACGTGAGGCTGCTAGCACGTGCGGCATGTGGTCTGAAGCACCTTCCTACCTGGGCAGTCAGTTTACGTCGATTCAACTGGGAAGGTTCGAAGAAGCCCCATTTGCGACTCTTATTCTCTTTGTGACATGCTTCACTTTTTCTTTCTTTACCACAGTAGCAGTTGTGTCGCATGGAGACTGCTCGAGTTGCTCTGGCTTCTAGAGGAATCATTAGATATGAGGCAGGAGGACCTGTCAGCACTAATCCCAATAACCGCTGACTGAGGCATGCAGTTCGAATTGCCAGTCTCACTTTCTGCCCCTTCAGAGCGGTTCCACATTCAATGAAATTCTTGCCGAAAGTGCCGTCCTCAAGTGCCGACAAATCACCTCCTTGCAGAATAGTGACCGTCTATGACTTTCTATGGTTGTCTATAGATTAAAATACTCGAAATATCTGCAATTCTCGAGGGAAGATTGGATTCTGTCTTCATTGCTCGGACAAATCTCTCAAGTAAGAGTGCCGTTGAACTATAGTGAATGTACGAGGCTCGTATAAGGCTCAAATAGTTTTTTCTACTATTATCACAGGTACTCATTCCCCAGAATACCTACACAAAACCAGACTTAGCTGCATGTGGAATGTCATTCGTGGTGAGGAGACTCGCTGGAGACACCGCAATAATATCGCCTCGTGAACCTGCTCGCGATTGGCGATGTAGAGCTTCATGGACCTCGTAAGGTTCCTAGACAGGGGCCACGCTAAAGCCACTGCGACGTTGTGAGATCTCGATTCAACCTTATTCGACCCTGGCCGTTTCACTGACCGGGGAAATGTACGGAGGTTCCAGTCCAGCTGGGTTGCAGGTTTCCCGCTATGCTTATTCTTCTCTTCCAGGATAGAGGACTCTCCATTCAGGAGCTGAAGATAGTATCTTCTGCCTGGAAGAGTGGCCTCGGGAAAGTCTATATAAAGGTCCATAATTCGCCATCCAAGCCTCCCTCATCCATCACAGCACAGCAGCAGCAGCAGCAGCAGCAACAACAACAACAACAACAACAACAACAACAACAACAACAACAACAACAACAACAACAACAACAACAAGCAGCAAAGCAAAGAAATACAGCCTCTCCTTCTCTACAGTCGTTCTTTAAGAAAAACCAACACCATCACCGTCAAAATGCGTTTCTTCTTTGCTCTCCCTCTCTTCCTCAGCGCTGCTTTCGCGCTCAATGCCTCTGAGGCCGAACTCAACGTCGCTCAGAACGACCTGAACATTCTGCAAGCCAATGGCTGCAGCACCCTGAGTAAGCCCAGCCATCGAGAGAGGAAAGAATTTCCGGTTCACTGACCACAAACACTGCTACAGAGTGCGTTTCCTCCCTGGCCGGTACCACCGCCTCCTGCGCTGCTGCCGCTGCTGAGCTCGGTGCCAGTATGTCCCTCGCAGTGTCCTTGCATGTCGAGAGAGAAAAGGAAGAAAGAAAGAAATGGAGGCTAACGATTCTCTCCCTACAGACCCTATTGCTGACCTTGCCTGCTTCGGCTCCGTCGGCACCACCGTTGCCAACGATGTTTGCCAGGGCTGCTTCTAAATAGAACGAACGCCAAACAACCATTGGCTTTTGACCTTTGATAGGCTTTTTGGTGCATTTGAGGATGGACTGGTTCAATGGGAAATATGGCCCGAATCTTAGATAGTTATGGGAAAGGTGAACAACAGGAAGAAAACAGATATAGTTGGCGGGTTGTTGTTGCTGATTCTTTGTCTTTATATTTATTTTTTATTTTTTGGCTTCCACTTTCTCCCCGATATGGAGATATTTGCATAGACCTGCGCACAGAGAAATGTACCATATATATCGTTGAATCGTGCTCGTGTAAACATTAAAGCAACTAAGCAACTTCTGCTGAACGTTTCATAACTAGAGCTTACAACTCCAGAAAGTGGACAATTCACTCTCAGAATTTTTCTCTTTTCTTTTCTAATTTTTTTAATTTTTTTTTAATTTTGTGTCTGGCACATACTCAATGTCTTGCATTTCGTCTGCCTTGGGGAATTGGAGTGAAGAGAAGGCATGTGAGCGCGAATCACGGGATTCTTGCGTACCTCCCAATCCTCCAGTCAGTCAAAACTTCATCCTTGACAGACCCCGATGGAATCCTTTCAAGACTGGCAACGCTCCTCGTGTCTTTGTTTTAGAGCCATGAAACGAATCAGTTCTCATTTGGTCACGACATACTTCATTCTACTGACGACAATTGCCATCCCATCTTGATTAGACCGCTCAATTGGCCAACTTCATGAGATGATCATTCTGCTTGCAAGTGACATTCCAAAATTAAGTTCATTCCTTCGTCTCTTCACTGCATATCAACAAGGTATAAAATTATATACATGCTCATATCATACCATTCGTCAAGACATGTCCTAAATATAGTTCATTGTTCATTGACTTTATTCTCTGTCGTGCTGATTGCTTCGCCTCAGCACAAACCCCCTCTCGGCCGTGCCGTTCGTCATAGGTCGGTGACTCTGGCTCCTAGCGGTCCCTCGCGTAGCCACCGGCAACAAACTACCGGAAAATTCGGAGACCACACTTCTCCTACTTCTGGCCGCACTCAGGATCGTCCGAATCTCAAAGGCACGAGACGTGATATCTGACCTGCCGGCAGTCGAAGGCCTACGTCTTCGATCCCATAGAATCCATCCACGAAGACGTCGATACGCTTTGCGGCTGCCGTATCTGATATCGTCGACCGAAAGAGCAAGCATAATCAATGGGATAGAAATAGCAAAGCCAATCCCGAAAATATACTTCAATACATAGGACAGCGGGAGGTTGGGATTGCCATCGGCGTGAGGAAACTCCTGGACGTTGATGGCAAAGAATGACGCAATGAAGGACAGCGGTAGGAAGATGACCGTCACGATGGTAAACACCATGATCGTTCTGCTCTGGCGTGTTGTCCCCGCCGCTTGGTCGCGCGCAAACCGGGCCTCGAACGCATTGGCGTGTTTCTGCTTGAGATCGAGCAAGTCGGTGATGGAGTCATAGATCCTTTCCGTCTGTTTATCCATCCGATCTACGTCCTTGACATGCATGTCGATAATCCTCTGTTGCTCTCGGAACCGCTTTTTGATCTCCTGCTGAGACCGATGCTCTTCTAGGTAGATGTCACAGATAGCCTCTTGCAAATCGAAGAGCACCTGCTTCTGATACTCAAGAACTGTCCGGATCATGTTGAGCTCGTCGCGAATGTCTTTGGCCTCTGCGAGAAGATCTGTTTCTTGCCCGATGTCGAGAAGCTTGTCGACGAACAGAGGCTGTTCACCCCACTCTTCTTCCGCATCCCATGTCTCATCCATGCAATTATCCTCTGTCTGGCTATCTCTTCGATCCCTTGACATTGACTCCAGATTCAGAGAGAAGCGGCTGGATTGTCGGTGGTGTTTCAGCCACTCCGAGGCTTGAGCGGAAGCAATGTTGAATTCATTAAAGAGCACCGTCTCACGATCAGTTGCGATGCCAACAGATGCTTCAAACATGTCTAGAAACTGATATTCCGCATCGCCCATCCTATGGCGGTCAAAAAACCCGGAGCATCGACCGCTAATGATGGTTGCCAGCTCATAGACCGAACGCACTGGATCTCGCGTCTTCGAGTTGATATCTTCGATGATCCCGTCAAGCACGTTGAGGGGGTCATTCTTAGGCTGTTCCCAGCGCTGTGGGAAGCTGGTTACAATGAGATTTTTGCCCAAGATCCACATCCATAGCTGATCCACCATGAAGATTTTCGGTTCCTTCCAGGGTCTATTGTGGTCTTGCCATCGAGTCTGGTAACGGTATACTACCTGATCTTGATCACGCATCTCGGTGTCGATGTTTGGATAGAAGAATTCATCCAGAGTCCTGCGGATGTGCAGAGACGTCGTTGAAGACATAAGATGAGCTCGGATCAGCAACTCATCCCGTGAGGGAGGTCTTGACGAACCCGAACGCCATTGAAAGGTCTCTGCTCGACGTATTGCTTCCTGCATTTTTCGACGGCCCTCGGCTGTTTCAAAATGCAGATAAGGCATAAAGACACAAATGTTGGACGGAGGGTCTTTGCAAGAGGCCCCGGACGAACGACTACGTTTTTCAACAGCAGACGCCGGACTTGATTTGTTTTTGGAGTCGGACTTTGGCGTGTCATTAGCGGTCTTACTGCGTCTCACATTGCCCTTTGCTTTCTTCCCTGAGGCGCTGTCCTCATCCTGGGACGGGACCTCCTTGTTGGATTTACTTCCGGAAGTCTTGTGCTTCTTTACGGGAGTTTCGGAAGCTTTGTCGGACCCCGCTTGCCCATTGATGACCACCTGAGGGACAGAATTTTCGGTCGTCTGTTCCGGCTCTTCGTCATCCCGGGTGCGAGGCGCTCGTGGAGTGCTCTGGCAGAGAGGCCTCATGAACTGGGAATGTATGCGCTGGCCGCGATGCTGTTGATTGAAGGATTTCTCCAGACCTTTGAAGCCTTCCACGTCACTCGCTCCTTCTTCGATAAAGTATTTTGTCAAGAGAGCTTCCACCCAGGCCATATTGTTGGCGGGCAAATGGATCCACCGAAAATTGGTTGCCTTGACATTGTCTGGAAGAGTGGTGACAGCTGGTTTGTTAGGATTCTTTTGGTCTCTCTTGTAGAGGAGGTCGAACACAGTAACCTTCTGGACCCGGTTCTCATTGCGGAAATTTCCAAAGTCGACGATTGTTGCATCAAACGCCTTGCAGGCATCAGTGGCATCTTCGGACAGTGCTTCGACGTGGTTGAATGGAGCCAAAAGCTGCACGATATCTTTCCTCTTGAATCGCGCTGCGCGTAGGAAGGGCGTGCTCCCGAAACTGTCGCGTGTCCTGGTTTTCAAATCTGGTCTCTCCAGGAGACACTTGACCACCTCTAGATGGCCAGCTTGGGCAGCAAGGTGGAGAGGGGTGATGCCGTTGAGTAGCTGGCTATTGATTTCGGCACCCGCCTTCAAGAGGATGCGGACGATCTTCTCGCATCCCTTGTCGCAGGCATTGTGAAGGGGGGTCCATCCGCCGTCACTCTTTGCATTGACATCTGCATTATACTTCAAGAGCAGTTCCACAACGTCCTCTCGGTCATGCGCAGTTGCAATGTGTAGGGCCGTCTTGTTTCGGCATTCGACTGCATTGATGAACGCCTTGGGTCCCTGGGGCCGATTGAGAAGCAATTCCGCGAAATGGATCTTGCCTGTCGCGCAAGCCCAGTGAAGCGGCGTGCGACCGAGTTCGTCCTTGGCCTCTATGGCGCAATTCGTCTTCAAGAGGAGATCGACCACATCGTCACCCCAGTCGCATTGTTTGTCCGCCGCCAGATTGTGCAGGACATTTCGCTTCTTGTTATCTCGCGCATTGACGTCCGCACCCCGGGAGATAAGCAGTTGAAGAACATGCCAATGATTCTTCCAGGCGGCCATCATGAGGGCGGTCCGGCCTTCCTTATCTCTGGTCTCGGGGCATGCGCCATAGTCCAGCAGGAGCTGCACGATCCTGACATGGTTGCGCTCAACAGCCCGAAAAAGAGGCGAGACGCGATTGCCGGCGACATCAACGCTGGCGCCCTCACGCAGTAGATAGTGACTGGCTTCAATGCAGCCCCGTTCGGAGCTCCTCGTGAGCCCGATGCCCAGAAAAGTGGGACTGAACTGTCCATTGGCGCGAGCCGCGTCGAGGACTTGCTTCAAGTCGTTGGTGTCATTGTTCTCCGCTGCGCGCAGCAATCGGGGTTCGAGGCGATCATGGTTGTCGCTTCCGAGGCTTGACCTCGATCTTGACCGAGACATGGTCAGTATAGCTGGCTATAGATTCACGCAATTGTGTGTTCAATCCATTCAATTCCAGAGACCGCTGTACCGCAACGATACTATCTACGGTGAGCATCTCCAGCAGGAAGCCTGCTCCTCATGCAGACATGGTATTCAAAAGGAAAACGCTTTGTGTTTTGCCATCACTTAATAATGATAAATGATTTTCCTAGTCAATACGAGAATCTGCAGAAAAAACAAGGTTGGCCTCTGGTCATCCGTCAGACCTAAACGCTTTTCCCACTAATTATGCCACCATGCCACCATCTGTGCAACGAACCTCATCACCGGGGAAGCGCTATCTGCCGCTCTGCAGGATTAGTGTGTTGTCGCCGTGGTGTGATTTGCCGCGAATCTGCAACCATCAGCCGCAAATACGAGTTGGCTTGAAACTAACCAATAACATTTACAAATTATAGAGCTAGCTGGCTAGATAGTTGTTATACAGAGACGTTCAGGAGTACAGCACTCCACATGATCAACCTACAGAAATCATTGCGATCGCAATACTGCACAGTATACATAGCATAGCTATAGGTATAAGCATAATCCAAACATGTTCATAGATGATACCCTCATCCTGTACAGACAGACCAATTTCAGCTCTTCTAGCTCTGCATGTTTGCAGCCCAGCACGTCTGAGTAAATTGACTAATTGTATGACACAACGCCTGCACCGCCACTGCAGAAGACTTACACGTTCAGCATCGTTTTTTTCCTGTGTTTCTTGACACAAAGTACGGACAGGCTGCATCCATTCAGATGGCTGCATTCAGATCCATAGCAGCAGTATTTTTCCGTCGATATATTATAAAGACATGGAATCTCTAGGAGAGGAGTCGAACGGACTGTATGTACGATGGGAATCGTTTGTTAGTTTGGTCGATGACGCTATTAATTACATATTCATTTTATGCTTTTTAAGCTTTTATTACTGTTACTTCCAGGAGAATAATAATATTGTGTCTGTTGGCACTTCTCAAACAAGAGGAAAGAGAAGAGAGCCTTTTTTTTTTGAGAATAGACACGACAGTCAGGTTCTGACAGTGAATTGCATTGCATTGCGGTTACTGACTTCATCAAGTTTAATATTAGATATGTTTGCTCATGAATAATGCTCATGAAGGAGCTGGAGCTCGACTGACATCGCGGTCTTGGTGGGTATCTGCTTGTTTGTTTGTTTGTTTGTCCGTTCGTTCATTTTTTTTAAAAAAAAATGGAAGTGGAAAACAGCAGTCGACGGCAGTCGACTAGTCGATGGAACGAACGTTCGTTCGAGTTCATTCATTCGTTCGTTCGTCCGTTCATTCATTATTGAAGCCTCCAACCTCCAGACTGAGTCCATCCAACCCCGTAGGGAAAGGAATTTCTGTCACCATTAATTATAATCATAATGATAATCATAATTATAATCATAATCATCATAACTATAATTATAATTTACTTACCCTTGGCTCACAGAACAGGTTGAAATTACTTTGGGACTGAATGACTGACTTATTTACTTACTTACTTCTCTTCTCTTCGAAGGCGCGAATGGATTAATTAATTATTAGGCTTACGTACATTACATTACATATTGACATATTGAAAGAAAAAAAGGAGGGAGGTTGAATTGAATTGAGTCTGAATTGAATTGAGTCTGAATTGAATTACTAAGATAGATATCTAGATAAGATTTATCGACCGATCCATGGTACCGTACGGAGTACTCCATGTGTGTCCCATTCCGCTCCGCTGTCATGAAATCTGAACCCTGAACCCTGAATGAATCCTGAACCCTGGTTGAAGACACGGGTAGGAGTGTATCAGTAACTACCTAATTTAACTGGTCTACCTAGGTATGTGCATTAACATACTAGTCCAGATGACGGAATTAATTAAAAAAACAAAAAAAAGAGGTACTGATATACCAGGAGAATTTATGTTTATGTTTACTGACTGATATCCATTGTAAGACCATAACTATACTATAAGTAAGCACGAGGTATTTATTGTAAAGAGTATGAGTCAAAAAAAAAGACCACAAGAATACAATAACTAAGAAAATCAAAACAAAAGCCAAAAAAATGAAAACAAATCATATCCAAGTATAGCCTATCCCATTATTTTTTTATAATCCCCTTAACAATAACTTATAACAGTGAGTAAGTGAATATGTGTGTGATATAAATATGCGAGACATAAATCCTTCTCTTTTCTTTTCTTTTTTTGCTTTTTGTTCTTCTTGTTCCCCAGTTTGTCAGCCAGTCAGTATACATTGATATGATGCAATGCGATGTGATGTGCTGCGATGCAATGCAATACAGATGCAAGGAATGAATATAAATAAATGCAATGCAATATATATGCAATGGAACAGATAAAGTCAACAGACAGCCAAGTCTTTCAGTTTGGACAGATGAAGCTTGCTGCATAAGCATCTCTACCTGTCTTGTACATAACCCACTTTTGGGGGGCCACCGTCTGTTTGCTTTTGATGTGAATGATTAGAATTTATTAACAACAACAACGACGGTGGCAGCAGCACAAACATAGTTCTGGATCTTTCTCTCTCCCCCTCTCACTTTTTTGTTATATTGTACTGCAGATGTATAATAATAGAGCCAAGCACTATTATTTTCTTTCTGTCTTTGCGCGGCTGTTTGTGTCGAGTCTTCTTTTGTTTTTCTTGCTGCCTAAATCTTTTTTTTAGTTCTTCAAGAAAAGACCGGTTGACTGACTGGTCTGATCTGATCAGATCAGGTCAGGTCAGTGTTTGGGGGTGTATCTCAATAAAAGAAACACAAAAAAAGACAGGGTAGAAATGCGGGAAAACGGGAAAAGCAAAAACGATGAAATCGAGCAGGTCGAGATGCGAGATGAGAGACGCAAGATGCGAGATGCGAAATGCGAGATCAGATCAGATCAGATCAGATCAGGTAGTATGACAAAACTGCGATATAGCAGTCAAAAAGGTTGAATCTAACCGAAATTACAAAAAAAATTAGGAGAGTTAACTCCCATGCATGCACTAGGCTACAAAAGAAATCACCGAAAAACAGAGAAATAAAAAACAGTAAATAAGACATCAGACCCTTGTCAGAATCTGGCTCATGCTAGAATATAAGACGATAAATAAGCAGCAGGTCTGCTGGCTTATTTCTTCTTTCCGTTTGGAATCCCCTTGAGGATGTCGTCGAAACTCATGTTCGGGTTGTGCCGAACAAACGGCTTCGTCGGTGGCTCCACTGGCATCACTCCGGCCGGCAACGGCAGGGCTTCCAGTCCAGGATGGATGGATGCGCGATTGCCCGGCGAACTCGTGCGAGGCACCGCCAACGGCGACACCCCGCCCGCGGCCGGCTGGATATCAGACATGGACCCAATGGACGACTGGGGCGCCGGCGTCGGGGCCGAGAACAACGAGGCCGCATCGTCCGTCGTGATGGGCGACCCGATCTGCTGCTGGCCCTTCTCTGCCCACTGCGCTGCGACCTGCCAGCAGTGGCTGCGCCGGTAGATGCCCTCGACGCCGTTCGTCACCACATCCGACGGCAGACTGACCACCCCTGCCCCGTTGGCAACGCCAAACCAGCTGCGTCCGGTCTTGGGATCGTTCTGCGCCCACGGCGCTCCGCCACGAGGCGCCACGCAGAGGAAATACTCCACCCCATCCGTATACCTCAGATCGGGCACGTCGACCACCAGCAGCGGCAGCGACTGGATGACGGCATACAGGAAGAGCCACTGGCCACACCGGTTGTCGGCGATCTCGTCGATGTTCTTGCCGTGCGCGCTGCGTCGCTCAAACTGCATGAAGCTCTCGATGAACGGCGTCGGCTTGACGCTCTCGTGCGTATAGGATGCCATCAGGATTTCGTTGATGTCGGAATCTTTGAGCTTCTTTTGCCGCTCCTTGGCTTCGGTTATGGGGTCCATGGGTTTCCGGCGTATCGACATCAGGCTGGGGATCTGCGGGATATCGAACGGGATCGGCGGCTGCACCGGCGGCGTGCTGCGGTCATACTCGCTCATCATCCGCCGCATCGCTCGGATTATCGACTCCATCGGATCCGCTGCGTCGAGATCCTCGCTGGCCATGTCCGTCGTCCGCGTCGTCAGCAAGTTGCGGTCCACCAACATGTCGTAAAGCGCCGCGAAGTCCTCGTAGACCTCCTTCAAGAGGAGCCGGTTGAGCCCGCTCCCTTCGAATTCGTTCTTCTTAGATCCGGCCTTAGGCGGCCACGACCCGTATTTCTGGCGATAGTAGGAAAGGATGAACTTCCGGAACGAGAGGAACGACGCTTTCCACGCTTTGAACCGCACTACTTTGCTCTCCTGCGCCGTGTTGGAGTTGGCGATCCCAGCCCACAGGGAGGGGAACTCGAAATCCTCGAGCTTGCCTCGCATCACCTTCAGCCGGTTCTCCAGGTCGATGTAGCCCCGTTCCAGCCGCTTTCGTGTGACCTCGCTGATGAGCTCGAACTTCGGGCTATGCAGTTGCTTGAGGTCATCCAGCTTCCCCACGCCGTGGACGAAGCCCTCCAGATACAGAGGATAATATCGCAGCTGTTCGCCGAGGACGATCGCTTCGATGGTCTTCTCCCGGCTCTTGCGGACGTCAGCCAGGTGCAGCTCGTCGCAGTAGTTGGCAAAGCTGGTCGTGGCCATCTCGCCGAAAGTCGACCCATCTAGGTTGGAGAACTCGAACCGGCGTAGCAAGACCGACACCTCCATCAGGATCGAAAAGAGGGTCGGATACCGAGGTGTAGCGATCAAGGCCTGCCCGAGTAGGAAGGCAAAGAGATTCCGGAAGAGCAGCAGGGTTTCCGTGTCTTCTGGCGACAGGCGATTGTGAGGACTGGAGACATCGCTATTGAGGGGAATTGGCAGGTAGAGATGAAGAGGCTCCTCCTGCGGCTCCTCGACTAGGGCCAACCGTGCACTCCCGCTGCTGGCAGCGTCATTGTCAGCCCACTGATACTCCGCAGACGGAGTGCCATCGGGATCCGAGACGGTGAGGCTGCGTGTCGACTGCCTCAGGGCTTCCACCTTGGGGTCGGTACCTCGAGCCAAGTAGGTCAGCGATGGCGAGTCAGCAAAGATGGCCGAGTCCACCTTGAATGATGGGGGTCGACGGGTGTTCTGCGGGAATAGATAGACAAAGGTATCGCCCTGCTCGTTCCACAATTCGGTGATCTGGGGAGAATCGGCAGAGCGTCAGCGAGCAACAACCAAACCTGTCAATCCAGTCAAAGTACGCACCGCTTCCCCCCTGGCCAGAGGACCAAGGTCATAGGGGATTTTCTGATCCAGCCCGGCAACCCAGGCCTCATATTCGTGGTTCCGCATCTCCACGGAAGGGCTTCGTGACTTTCCCGGCATCCAGCTCCGTCGTTTCCCCGCGCGTTCTCCGGGCGTACCAGGTCGTGAGGGAGGGGCTAGAGTGCGAGGCGTCAGTCCAGCGGAGCTGGAAGGTCTACTGCCTGCGTCCCTGCTCCCCGGTCTGCTATCGGGACCACTGTCGCTGAGGGTCTGATTGACGGCGAGCAAGGAAGGAGGAGGCGGGAGGTCGGTCAGGTCAAACGGCTCTACGGACCCGGAGCTTGTTTTGGGGCGTGATTCTGCAGAATGGGGGAGGGGCGATGAAGCATGGCGCGCCGGTCGTGAGCTGCTACGAGCCCGTCCGGTGTGTTGAGGAGGCAGATCAGGAGAAGTCGACTGGTCGGACTGCTGCTTCGAGCTGGAGCCGAGGTTCAGGAGGGAGGAGATGCGGCGCGCTGACTTGACCGGAGCAGACAGCATGGTGGCAGCCAAAACACGTCAGGTAATAATGTAAGACACTGAGCCTGCAATGCACGGCAAGGCAGCATGGGAGGCTGCAGGGAGAACACAGCTGATCCGCGCTTCTCAGTGGCGGACGGATGGGCCAAGACGAATTCCAGCAGCAGAACTGGGCTTGCTATGATGGTGCCAAGGGAATGGATCGGCGGCGTGGCTGCAGGAAAAAAAAGGGAGAGACGGCGCTGAATGGGCAGAGGAAAGGGGCAATTGCAGCAAGCAGGCAATGTGGCGGATCCAGATCGCGAAAACGGTCACTGACACCAGACGAGAGCCTTATTTTAGCATCACAGGCTGTCGAGAGTCGAGGGTGGCTGCAGGCTCAAGATCGGACCGAGAGAACGGTGAGCAGCAAGCGGCACGTCCGGATGGCCGGAGGGAGCAGAAGGTGACGAGACGGGCGTCCACGCAAACAGAGGAGGCACGAGCAAGGAGGAAACAGAGGCCGGAAGATATCAAAGGAAGGGAGAGGAGAGGAGAAAAAGGCGAGGCGGAGACGGGGGGTTTCAAACGAGCGAACAAGGCTTAGAGGCGGCTGATGCGGCTCAGATGGCGGAGAGAACTCTATCCGGGCGGCAGAGCTCTCGTCTCGGCATCTAAGCAACAGTGCTCAGTCAGTCAACAGGTGAATCGCAGACGCAGATGGCGATGGAGATGGAGAAAAGATTTCAAGGCCGACCTTGGGCAAAGCCAAACGGTACTTGGTCACCCGACAGCAGCGCAGCCAGCCCAGCACAGACCACACGCTCAATGGAGGTGACCGCGATGATTCCAGGCCTTCCGAGAGCCACGGCCGAACTAGGCAGTTGGGTCTCGCGTTCAACGCGCGGAATTGCGTATGCTGGCCGGCGAAGCGTGTGTGGAGAGCATCAGCAAAAGTCGGGCTTGATGACGTGGGAACCGCCACGATGACTCCAAAAAAAGACCGCTAGCGACCAGCCTAGCAGTCCCCGGTCCATGGCCGGGCCTGTGCGCTTGGCTCGATTCCCTGGCATGGCTCTTAGCCTCCGACCAGGGGTAGAAGTTAATACGAATAGGCCTGGACTATACTCGTACGATTTGCTGGACAAGGCTGCTGGAGACATTCGAGAAAACTGCCAGCGCATATTCCGTACGAGACTGCTCTGCCCCGCCCCCTGACTCGAAGGCAGAATACGAGAAAGATCAGATAACGAGTTGATTAAAAGATTGGATCAGGTGAACCGTGGCAGTGACGTGCATGCCAGACACGTTGGTAGGATATTTTTGCTAGATCATTGCTCTCACGTGTCTACCGACAGTCCCTTTGAGCTGTAGACAAATAGACAAAGAAACCCCCTTTTCTCAAACTTCCAGCCTGGTATTGTATTCAGTCCTATCCTACTGCTTCTTATCTAGTAGGCTGGGATGGGAAAAAAAAATTGAAGCGCACAGCTCTCGCGTCTCACAAGACGAACAACTCCCACAGGATTGCTAGCTCGCTTCTGTGAATTCTTCCTGCATCCTGCCATGCTGCTAACTGCAAAACAGAATTTTCGCGCTCAGTGATCAACTCTCCGTCCTTTGATCAGCCGCACTGATCCCCTCGAGTCCCCAGAATACCGCCCCCTCATGACCTCATCAGCAGTGACAGCCCCCCACACACGGACATCCTGGTCGAGCTGACACTGCCCACCGTCCATTGTCATTCCTCGCGTCCAACATGGCTGCTGCGGCTCGTCCAGATGGCAACTCAACCAAGGCGCCGATCGATCTCTTCCGCGGTTGGCCGAACCCTGCCCTGCTCCCGGTCCAGTCCCCTCTCCCACGCGTCTACCGTCGCTCTCTCCAACCCCTCGATCTATCAGCCAGGCCTGCAATATGGCCCGGACGAAGGCTACGGGCCGCTGCGCCAGCATGTGGCGCAATGGTTGACTTCCTTCTATGCGCCTCCTGACCCCATCTCGCCGGACCGCATCTGCATCTCCGGCGGTGCCAGTCAGAATCTCGCGTGCATTCTGCAAGTCTTCACAGATGCAGCCTACACCCGGAATATCTGGATGGTCGCGCCCACATACTACCTCGCCTGTCGGATCTTTGACGATGCAGGGTTTGCAGGTCGCCTGAGGGGAGTCCCTGAGGATGCAGAAGGCATCGACATTGACTTCCTGGAGCGGGGTTTGCGGGAGGCAGAGGAGAGGGCAGTGTCCCAAGGGAACACGAAACCGGTATGAAATCCCTTGCGGCTGTGACATTTATTGTATTGTGCAAGGCTCTTTCAAGAAAGCTGCTGGCAACAAGGAACCCTTTCTGACTAGTTTTTCTGTCATGGGGGAAAGAGAAGACATACAAACCCCCGCGGCCCTGGAGGAAGATTTACAAATACGTCATCTACCTGACCCCGACCTTTGCCAATCCGTCCATGAAGGTCGTGTCCTTGCGACGGCGCGAACAACTCGTCCGGCTCGCACGACGCTACGACGCCCTCATCGTGTCCGACGATGTCTACGACTTCTTGCAATGGTCCTCCCGCCCAGAGACTGTGCTCCCCAACCCCGAGAAGGCGTTTATTCCGCGCCTGGTCGACATCGATCGCTATCTTGATGGTGGTCCAATTGATGGATGGGGGAACACGGTTAGCAATGGCAGCTTTAGCAAGCTCATCGCCCCGGGAGTAAGGACGGGATGGGCAGAGGGCACCGAGAGGTTTGTCTACGGGCTATCTCAGACGTATGTCTTGGTCTTTCATCCCTGGCGGAGAACTCCAACTACAGAAGCAACCCTCTCGAGTCTATCAACTTAGACTTGTGCATCTAACCATTGACAAATAGGGGATCGTCGAGATCCGGAGGCGCTCCCTCCCAGCTTACGGCGACCTTTATCGATCAGCTCCTGTCCACCGGTGCGCTTCAAAAACATATCGCAACGGTCCTGCAGCCTGCGTATGGAAAACGTTACCACCAGGTCATGACGGCCATTCACGACCACCTCCTGCCGCTGGGTTTCCGCATTCCTTCGAGCTCTCCCCCTGTGGTGGGAGGGTACTTCATCTGGGTCAATCTGCCACAGCCATTACGGGCCACTGAATTGGCGCAGAAAGCTTTGACAGAAGAGAACCTGAAGATCGGTAGCGGGACCCTCTTCCAAGTGCAGGGTGACCCTACAGAGGGCAGCGATGATTTTGAGGGCAGTATCCGGATTTCGTTTGCCTGGGAAGAATTCGATCTACTCGATCAAGGCGTGCAGCGGCTCGCGGCCGTGGCGCGCCGCATGCTGGCTGCCAGGTAAGCCACGGTGCTATTACCTTACCTCGGAAGGCGGCTATTTGCGCTCGCACTCGGAGGACGGAGTCCATCTGCCACCCTCGTCCTGAACGAGAATACGTGGGCGTAATTGACAGATGCCAAGTATGACTCGGTCTCCTTCCAAGACGTCCGTCCCAGTCAGCGATTGTGAGCTGTGCCGTGATTCATCACTCACTTTCATGCCATACGACGGAACATAGACACTTGATCGGCTATAATTGCCTTTCGCAATGATCATTGTAGCTCTGACCCTTCCCACCATTCTGTCAGGGGAAAAAAAATTCTGTGAGGCGCAGACATGCCGTGCTTTAAGTCTGGGCTATTACCTAAGGAATAATTGGGAGACCATAGCTATAGCCTATAGATGCCCAGCTGTTATAGCGGCCCATTCGATTCCAGAATCTCAGGCCGTCAAACACCCAATTCAGAAGTTAACATCGTCAATCAAGCAGTGAGGTAGATTAATGTCTGACTGAAAGAACCGCTCTATCTATTTATATTTCTGTAGACAATCAGGTCGATGGCATTCGAATGCCGTAGTCCGTCTTGGTGGGCAGCACCTGCCTTGGCTGTCGGTTAGCAAGGATCGGGCAGGTGTCTAAGTGTCAACCTCCTTCGGCTCCTGGATGAGGGGAAGCGACGTCCGTCTCTCAACTTAAGTCTCCTTCACAATTCTCTCTCATGCCCAGTGCTGAACAGCAACTAGCGAGCCCCTGGCGATCCTAGCGATGCCTGTCTGGCACTAGGACTGCTAGTGACACACCCGAGAAAGTTGGCTCTTCACTTGACCCCGCCAAGGACCGGATTCCGGCTGCAGATTGGTCCTCCCGACGAGACGGAGCGGTTTCGCATTTCATTACTGGCATCACTTCGAAACAGTGAACACTTTTCATTAATTGCATTATTGACTGGAGTGTAGGGAATATAGTCCTGCTATTATTATGCTTGCGGAAAAAGCTTTATGGTTGCCTCGCATTAATTGACTGATGATGGCTTGATAGGTGTCCATTGTTTATCCGCATACTCCGTATTGGTCAGGAAAGATAATATTGGACGTGTTGTGCGCTACTACCCCAGTGAAAATCCACCATGGCAGCTCTCCCAGTTACTGAAGATTCTCTCGATTAAACGATAGTACTCTATACGGAGTGCTCCGTCCTCCGTACACATCACTGCACGCAATACGGGATTGTCGAGATCGGCCGGACAATGGCGATGGCAACGGTCGGGACCCGACACAACGGTGAACTTCGGACGGCTTCATTCTAGTCCTGTTTTCCCAGGTTTGACCACCTGTCATGGCATAAATAGGAATGGTTGATGCTTGTCTACGGAGTCTTCCGTCCCATTGTGATCGCGGAACCACGTTCCCTTCCCTGTCACCGCCCAAGTGCCGAAGAATGCCATTCCGTGTCCTGGACAACCCGCGTTCCCCGACGACGACTCTCCAGTAAAAATATTTACTACACGCTGATCCCGAGGAATGGACTAATAGTGTGATTGTCAGACGTCTCTGTTATCGAGAGACGCGATAACCAGGCCGCCACAGCGTAGAAGACATTGGTTCCTGACAGGAACCACATTCCAGCATCCCGGGTGTTTTCGTCAACCAAGACGATTCTTCATGGATATTTCCCGTCTGCAATAATAATGCCAAGTTTGTTCTGCAGAATGGAGAAGCGAGGGAGATTCCCGACGATCTCCCATACCTGTATATATGATGATCGATCCCAGAGGAACAGCCTGCTTATTCCATAATTCCCTCCTGCTGTAACGTCCATTTTTCGGAAACACCAGCCAGCAGAAAACGCGATCAAGTCGGTCCTCGGTGGTGATCGAATTTCGCCCAGGAGCATCTGGGACCCAGTGCATTGTGGCCGGAGGTGTCCGTCTGTTTCATCTTGTCCTTTGTTGCTGCTTGATAGGGTGCTTCCATCGCCAATCAACCAGGGTGTGTACCTGATTTCCTTTGCACGCGCCGTCCCGCGACGACCAACCATCCGCAGCGTTGCAATCCCAATCTCACCCAACGCAGCTGGTTTCGCCGTTTTTCCAGGTTTCGTTTCTCCTCCCAGAGAGGGGTGGAGCCCTCCTCGGGCCCGGCTCGTTTCTGCTTTTTGGTCTTGTCGAATAAATCCCCGAGGTGGCTGTCGATCCCCGACTCTAGGAGGTGGCCTTGCTAGCGCTGTGGGTTCCTATTGTCCCGCTATCTCTCACTGCCGTTTTTGGACTATTGATATTCAGCCCTGACCAGGCCACCCTCTTTTTATTCACTCCACCTCTCCTGGTCAGCCCGTCAATCACTTCTGATTCACAGTCTTTCGTTTTTCTTTTTTTGTGTGGCCGGCACCCACAGCACGCTTTGGGAGTGCGCCATCACCCGTCACTCTCTTTACTTGCAGATTTCCAGATTTATCGTCCCGGCGACTGTCGACTTATATCTCCCACGTGGGAGCATTTTCCCGTCTAATCGACACTTCACACGCCATCTGGGCAAAACAAAGCCATAGAAAAGCATCGCTCTTTTGTTTGTCTCTCTTTTATCTGTTTTTGTCATTCTTTTCTGCTATTGGGTTCGACCTTCATTGAGCGCTACCACAATACATTCTGCACAACTGCACAATTGGGAAAATAATACGAAAACGAAGGGGTCGATCGCCTATATCTTCAGCACTGGTTGCTGGAGACCTGTCTGCAGAGTTCTGTTAACCTCTCCATTTTCTGCTGGTTCAGATTTCAAAATTCGTCGCCTCATATCATAGACGTCACAAAAATGTTGTCCAGAATCAGCGTGTTCATCATTCGCCTTCTCTTGTTCCTGGGGTTGTCAGCTTTCCTTGTCGAGGCTGCGCCCATGCCCCTGGACATAACGTTAACAACAGGCACTTCGTCTAGCTCGTCTGGCTACTGGGTGGCCAATATCAAACGTCAGGGAACAGTCGCTTTCGGCAACTCGACCGACTACCAGATCTTCCGCAATGTCAAGGATTTTGGCGCAAAAGGTAAGATTGGTTGATAATAGGACCAAGGACTAGACTAACGCTTGTTAGGTGATGGCATAACCGATGACACAGCCGCAATTAACGAGGCCGTCTCGTCCGGAAACCGATGCGGCCAGGGCTGCGACTCATCCACCGTTACTCCGGCTATTGTCTACTTTCCACCGGGCACGTACATCGTTTCGAAACCAATTATTCAGTACTACTACACCCAGTTCATCGGTGATGCCCTAGATCTCCCCGTTCTGAAGGCCTCGCCCCAGTTCACAGGCATGGCTGTTATCGATTCGGACCCCTATGACGATTCAGGCTCCAACTGGTACACCAACCAGAACAACTTTTTCCGGTCTGTTCGTAACTTCGTCATCGACTTGACTGCCATGCCTCAGGGCTCTGGTGCCGGTATCCATTGGCAGGTTGGGCAAGCCACCAGTCTGCAGAACATCCGCTTCGAGATGGTCAGGGGCGGCGGTGATGCAAACAAACAGCAGGGTATCTTCATGGATAACGGGTCTGGCGGCTTCATGTCGGATCTAGTTTTCAATGGCGGCAACTACGGCATGTTCCTGGGTAACCAGCAATTTACGACGCGCAACTTGACCTTCAACGACTGCAACACGGCCGTGTTCATGAACTGGAACTGGGCCTGGACCTTCAAGTCGGTCACTGTTAATAACTGCGGTGTCGCCCTGAATATGTCCAACTCGCCCTCGAACCAGACCGTCGGCTCCGTGATGCTCCTGGACAGCACCATTTCCACTACCCAGCAGGCCATCGTCACGGCCTGGAGTACTGACAGCATCCCAGTTGGCGGTGGCACCTTGGTTTTTGGACAATGTGGACTTCACCGGCTCCAATGTGGCCGTTGCGGGCATTGATGGTAACACGATCTTGGAAGGTGGTTCGGTGGTGTCGTCTTGGATGCAGGGCAACACCTACACTCCGTCTGGTAAATCTTCCAAGGCCAAGCGTGCTGAACAGGCTCTGGCGTCCCTGCTGCCGCAGGCCGCTGATGCCTGTCCTGCACCCCAGGTGCGCACGATAACGATCGTCAAGACTCTGCCTGTCGCCACTGGTACTCAGGTAGAAACGGCCGTTCCAGCTCCTTCGCCCTCTGCCGTGACGCAGGGTGGCGCTGTTCCTGCGTCTGCTGTGACTTCGGCGGCTGGCGGTGCCGTTCCTGCACCCTCGCCAGCGGCTTCAGAGACTACTGGCGCTGCTCCGATCGTTACTCCAGCCGCTTCCTCACCTTCAGAGGCTGGATCGCCCGCAACTTCTGTGCATGGTTCTGCAGGATCTGTTGTCACCTCTCCGGCTGCCGCCTCTGAACCCTCGCCTCTTGCTGTATCCATCGGCGTGAACGTTCCTGGTGGCTCATCTGTTGCATCCTCTCCCGCCGCGGCTACTCATTCCGCCCAATCCGCCGGACAGTCCTCTATCGCTATATCTCTATCTCTGGGACTGCCTCCTGCGACGGCAACATCTAGCGCTCACGGTGGCACTTCGACGGGCACCTGTTCGAACGCTCCCGCCTCCAAGGCACGTATCCAGAAAGCTATGACCGCGTCGACCAAGCCCCAGGTCCTCTTGGATGGCCAAGGCAAGGTCTTTGAGCGTTCGAGGCCTCTGTACGAAAATTACGATGCGTCCTCGTTTGTCAGCGTCAAGTCGGCGGGAGCCAAGGGTGACGGTGTTACGGACGATACCGAAGCCATCCAGAAGGTTTTGGACAGTGTCACGGAGAATCAGATCGTGTACTTCGACCACGGCGCATATGTGATCACCAACACCATCAAGGTCCCCAAGAACATCAAGATCACGGGTGAGATCTGGCCGCTGCTGATGGCTTCCGGAAAGGCCTTCGCGGATGAGAAAAACCCGATCCCCATGCTCCAGATCGGCCAGCCTGGCGACACCGGTTCGGTCGAGATTTCCGACCTGATTCTCGAGACCAAGGGACCTGCACCTGGCGCGATCCTGATGGAGTGGAACGTGGCTGAGGCTACGCAGGGCTCTGTGGGCATGTGGGATGTGCACTTCCGCGTTGGTGGCACCGCTGGCACCGAGCTGCAGAGCAACACCTGCGCCAAGGATCCGACGTCGACAGCGGCGCCAAAGAGCGAGTGTATCGGCGCGTTCATGATGTTCCATGCGACGGAGAAGGCCAGCGCCTATGTTGAGAATTCGTGGTTCTGGACCGCGGACCACGATCTGGACATGCCTGACCACGGCCAGATTGACATCTACAACGGACGGGGTGTGTTGATCGAGAGCCAGGGACCAGTGTGGCTGTACGGCACGGCGTCGGAGCACAACCAGCTGTACAACTACCAGATCCACAACGCGCAGAACGTGTACATGGCGATGATTCAGAGCGAGACTCCGTAAGTTGCCACAATTGCCCCGATATTGAGTTTCGGTTCTTGCTAACGGTTTGCAGATACTACCAAGCTAACCCCAACGCCTTGACGCCGTTCACCCCGCAGACAAGCTGGAATGACCCAGACTTCTCGACCTGCACGACGGACTCGTGCCGCAAGTCGTGGGGCCTGCGGGTGATGAACTCGTCGGACCTGTACGTGTACGGGGCTGGCCTGTACAGCTTCTTCGACAACTACAGCCAGACGTGCCTGGCGACGGAGTCGTGCCAGGAGAACATGGTCGAGGTGGACTGCTCGGACGTGCACCTGTACGGGCTGAGCACGAAGGCGAGCACGAACATGGTGACGTCGTCGTCGGGCGAGGCGCTGGTCCTGCAGAGCGACAACGTGAGCAATTTCTGCTCGACCATAGCCTTGTTCCAGCAGACGTGAAAAAAAATTAACCATGATTGAGGCGTATGAATTTGTTCTTGGATTCTTGTGCATGAGTTTGTTCTGAAACTCTTGCCTGATTTATTTTTTTGTTTACATCTACAGCAAGTTTCTTTTAATTTCTAGGGTTGGATCTTTGGTTGCCGTTTCTTCAGAATAACATATTTCTTCCCTCTTTGCCCGACATTTCTTTCTTGTGTGTCCTTATTATTGTCTTGCGGAGATGATCTGCGACAATATCTGTAGGGTAGATTAGATTAGGTTAGGACTAGACAACTGCATTGCATGCATGATGAATTTGAAAGATGAATTGTCGGTGAATACAGAAGTACATGGCTACTTAGCTAATTCGATCGTTGACGAAGAAGACATGAAATATGCTGAAATAAAAGAATGCTGTAGATCTGATTTGATTTAATCAGGAGTTATCCAGACCGGCTCTTCATTCGGCATTGGAGTTCGGAAGCCATCCCGAAGACCTGCGCCGCCGGAACGGGAAGCATCAAGTCAATCCCGACAGAAGCTCTGTCTTCATTATCTTGCAGTTTTTTTCCTTTCGATTTTTACTTTTTGCCGAAGTTCTATTACTTGCTGTATTCGAAGAGATATTTGATTAATTCAATTCAATTCCATCTCCCACCGTTAATTATCGTCGACGAGTTCCTTCTTATCCAGTCAGTCGACTTCCCCTCCGCCCCTCCCTCGCGCTTCCTTCCGGAGGTTTCTTTCTTCCAGCTGCATCTCAACTCTCACCAAAGCAAGCAAGCTTGCCCTTGCTCACTCGTATGAGTGATAATTAAGACTCGAGAAAGAAAATGACATCCAAACATCCCCCCTTCAAAGAAGTGGAAAACTCCCGCCCGCCGTGGCGCGAGGACGTCTCGCCGACGTACACGCGCACCCGCAACCCGGACTGGAAGCCCGGCGAGGGCGCCAACGATGGCGGTGCCAGCCTGAGCAAAAAGCACGTCGAGATCGACCCGTATGCTGAGGGACGGGCGCCTATCCTCAACTACAAGCTGCTGATCAGCGCGGTGGTTCCACGGCCGATTGGGTTTATGAGCACGAGGTCGAGGGATGGTAAGTAATACAGCATATCAAATCGCCCCTATCTATCTCTCCTTTCAGCTAAGTTGTAACCTGGCAGGCACAAAAACCAACCTCTCCCCCTTCAGCTTCTTCCAGATGATCGGGTTCGACCCGCCGCTGTTCGTCTTCGGCATCGTCGGGTCGCCGACAACCAACCCCAAGGACAGCCTGCGCAACGCGATCGAGAGCGGCGAGTGCGTCATCAACATCATCTCGGAGCACTTCATCGAGGCGGCCAACTTCACGTCCATCGACGCGCCGTACGGCGTGTCCGAGTTCGCCGTGTCGGGCCTGCACATGGCGCCGTCGGCCGTGGTGTCCGCGCCGCGCGTGCAAGAGGCCATTTTCTCGGTTGAAGCCCGCCTCGTCGAGACGCGCGAGTACAAGAGCAAGCTCGACCCCAGCCGCACGTCGTCCACCATGCTCGTCGTCGAGGGCGTGCGCTTCTGGGCCCGTGAGGACGCTATCAACGACGACCGCGACCGCCTTGACCCGGCTATTCTAAGGCCTATGAGCCGTCTGGGCGGTATCTCGTACGGCCGGCTGACGGAGATGATGGAGTTGCCGCGACCGGAATGGGCCAAGTTGGATGAGGAGGAGAAAAGGAAGTTTTCTAGTCAGAGTTAGACTAGAAGCCCCCTAGATAGATGATAGATTTATAGACGAGTAGTTATAGACATCTTACGAAGTACCTGATATGAACGAATGAATAATACACATGTAAATGAATGTAACACTATTGACGAGAAACCAACCATCATACAGTATCCAATGCAGCAGAGTTTCAGACTGGCCGTTTGGAAATGGAAAATCCCAGGCATCTCCTAGGGATCCCAGGGAAGGGGGGTCTGTCTCTGGAAGATAAATCCTATATATATGAAATAAGAAATATTATAGGAAAATTCCATTGTCAATGCTTAATGCCACGCCGTATTGTATGCATTGCTCTAAAGGATATAAGCCATGAGATAGATGATGGGGGAAGAGGGAAGAAGAATCCCTCCAACTACGTAATGTACATACTGTACAGAACAGTACAGGGAATGGTATAACCATACCTAAGGTACCTTAACCTACCCAAGTCAGACATGATCATCATCCCATGTCACTGCCCGGAGATGGAACGTCCATGGTTTGTTTCCTGTCGAAGGTCCTTCCATGGTGGATGCCGCCGCATCGTACGGCGACATTCCAGAAGATCTTATTTTTGTCCCATGGGGGGGGGGAATGGAAAATGGGAAATTGAACTACTGAAGTGTTTTGTTTTCCTTTTTTTTCCATATGTATGTACAGTACATATGCCAAGGATTTCCCTGGGAAATCTGGAACTCCTATGGGAAATCCTATGGGAAAACTGGAAATCCCACAGAATTTCCTGTCCCTGCCAAGAATTTCCCTGGGAAATCCTATGGAAAATGGAAAACTGGAAACCCTTATGGAAATTGGAAAATGGAAATCCATAGGGAAATCCCACTATGATTTCCAAATTTCCCTATTAGTATGGAAGGGAAGGGAAATCATATGGAAATTGGAAAGTGGAAATCCATAGGGAAATCTGGAAATCCTATGGAAAACGGGAAATCCATAAGGAAATCCCATGGAATTTCCTCACCATGCGGCTAGTCTACCTGAGGACCGGGGCCCTGAGTATGCTATGCTATTCTACGCTATGCTATGCTATGCTATGCTGTGTATGCAACGCAGACAATACAGGATGATGTTGATGCGATGCTGATGCTGACTCTGATGCTGATGTATGTACAAGCAGAATAATACAGACCTTTATATCTATCGTCATGATTATCCTGGTAGTTGCTGTTACCACGTAAACGACTCCTCGACAAAATCAACTGCCATCCCCCTCCCGATATTCCTTCGAGCTGCTGCCCGCACCTCATCCGCAAACGCCCCCGGGCCACACACCGACACGACCGTCGCACCCACCCGCTTCGGGAGCGCCTCGTCCAGAACGACGGCCGGGCGGCACCGCCCCGCGAACATCTGTAGCGTCTCGCTGGGCGACGAGATGATCTCGTGCCCACTCTTGGGCTTGGAGATGAACAGCTTGATCGTCAGCATCTGCCGCCGGTTCGGCAGCTGCAGGATCTGGTCCATGTACTGGCGCACCCAGCCCAGACACTCGGTGCTGCGCACCGACCAGATCAGGTAGATCCGCTGCGTCGCGACGCAGCCGTCGGCCGCGCGCAGGAGCAGGTCGCGCACGTGTAGCAGGTGGTGCGTGATCCCTGCGCCGCCGGAGAACAGGATCGCTGTCCCGTAGCTGCCCAGTGAAGAAGGGCCAGAGGAGTATGGTCCCTCGATGAACCCGGCCGTGAACAGCGTCTGGTTAGGCGAGCCCTTGGCTTTGTTGTACAGCTGTCGCGTCATGCCGGTTCGTGCGGCGATGATCAGTGACACCGTCGTCGGTTGCAGGTCGCTGTCGTAGAACCGGTCCATGCCCATGTCTTTGAAATCCTGCTTCTCCAGACGGGATGGACTGATGGCCGGGCTTCTGCCAGGGCTAGGTCCCCGGTTCAACCAACTCGACGGGTGTGCTGGGGGCGTTACGCAGCTGCTGGGCTCGACCCAGGCAACGGAGAACGGGTGCGACATCCACAGTGAGATGTTCGGAAAATATGCGTAGACATGGCTGCCGGGTCCGATGTGAACACGGCGGGGAAGGTAGAAGGTCACTCGACACGCTTCGCCCGGCAGAGCCTCGACCCTAACTCTCGTTCTGCCATCCCGGAGTGATAAATTCAGGTACACCAGGCGCAAGAACCGGGCGCTGCGTTCCAAGGCCCAGACGCACACGATGACCTTCGCCCACGATAACTGAGGCAAGGAATCCAAGTTCAGATGCATGTACACCCCGAGAAGCGCCAGCAGAGCCGCCAGCTGGTGCAGATGCAAGAAGGTCTCGTAGAACGCGTGCCGGATTGGCGACGGAGAGTGCGAAAGCAGAAAAACCATCGCCAACACACCCACCGCACCCCAGGAGAAGAACGGCGTGGTGCGGATCCGATCGAGGGCATCTGCAAAGTTCTGCTCGTCGACCGCGTTGATTGACCAAGCCACCGTGTGCGTGATCGCCTCGACCACCACGATGCGGCCGAGCCACCGGTGGAAGAGGTTATAGGTGTCGAAACTGACGTGGAGGAGCGAAATGAGCGGATTGTTGCGTCCTGCTAGGATGAAGAGAGGCACCATGTTCAGCACCGCCAACGTTCCTGATCTTCCACGGAGTTCAGCGATCAGGGCTGGTTTCTCGTTGACGGCATAATCTAGGAGGCCGCAGTACGCAATCTGGCTCGTGATATACAGCACGATCAAGATGGTGTGAAATCGAGATGGGATTGTCCCCATATTGCTAGCGATCGAAAGCTGAATTTCCCTGTTATGTCTCTTTTTCCCCAGCGGCGCATAGAGCAGGTGCTTTTTAATCTTAGGCCAGAGACTGGACCTTTCGACACTCCAGAATAATTGCCGTCGCCGGGAGGCTGCCAGACAGCTGATCTGGCGCAGGTATGCATTGCTCATCTGGACGAGACGTCCGCAGAGGACCACGACTGCAACGAAGCCCAAAGTGGCACATATGATCCGGGTGATGAGAACATCTCGAGGAACGTCGACACCGTTCAAGCCCCTCGAGTATTCAAATATGTAGGTGAGGTTCTGGTGCGATTCGGGGGCATATTGCCCCGAAGAGGCACTCATCGGAACTCGAGCACAACAATAACAGCGAATCGAATCGGAAGTTTACGTCCAGCGCAAGGTATGATCGTTTATCAACTATCTCTGGACAAGCCGTCAGGGAGGTCACAAGTCACAAATAGCCGCACGAGACAATGGCAGACGGCGTCATTCCCAGGGGTTAAAGTCTAGGAACCTTGGATTTTGGACCAGTTGAGTGGATCGGAAGGAGCTTACCTCAATTTCCGAACGCATACAATGCGGGATTCCCAGTAGTTGCGGAAACGACAGGAATGCGGGGACGTCCGTCGGGACGACCCAGGCAGGTATCAATCTCCACCGTATCGATAGGAAATGCTGGCTGAAGTTGGTAATTCAGGGGACCATCCAACAGAGCTGGCACGAGGTTATGACGCAGTCAGGGCTATGCAGTCTTTGCAATTCCGAAGATCGCAGCAGGATCGACACAGGCTCAGAACACAAGGAGGAAAGTCAATCGGCGATCTGGATTAGCAGACGTCAGGTTAGCATATAACTCGATGCTGTCATCCATTAAATGACGCACACACTTGGATTGTGCGCAAAGTCAAGTCCAGAGCGGGAAAGAGGGGTATGCTCAACGGTGTCTTCGAGCTTTGCTGGCAAAGCGAAAGTAATCGATAACCGTCGTAGTGGTAGGTCAGGCAGGATGAAAGAAAGGAGGCAACAATGTTATTGTTTATTGCAGGCTAGCTGTGCGCAGTGGTGAATGAACTAGTCAAGACTGATCGGACAGTGAATGAAGTACGTTGGTTATGAAAGAAGGAATGGTTGGAGAAAGGCGTTGTAACAATGGGGCAGGCCAGCCAGCTCCGATAAGAATTGAATTCAGTTCACAGAACGTGCAGCATCAAGCAAAAGGAATGGCTTGTGAGGAAACAAGGAAGAGAAAGTACGCCCCAAAGCCCAGAGGTGCTGATGAAACCTCACTATGCCAGCCTGCTTGCCTCGGCCAGGTGGCAGTTCATGGACGTCAACGATGAATAGAGGAGGAAAGAAATTGAAATTAAGCCATCGCCCCAGGCTAGTAGGTGTCAAGGTATCTCTAGCCTTGCCGTCGAGTGGCTGATCGACGAGCGTCTGCTGTTCATCGACTGCAGGGTTTCGACTCGTCTCGAGTCGCGCGCCTATCGGGGAGACTCCATTTACCAGCGGTCAGCATCTGAACTGCGCTGGCCAGCCTGTCGCTGCAGCGTATTCAAGGACAACTCAAAACGGTGGATACCAATACGCAGCACTGGAGCGATTCACCATGCAGATCGACCTGGTCAACGCAAGGATTGGAACAAATTCGTTTCAGTTCAGGCAGCGAACAGCCTGCCCTGGGGAACGGGCAGTCCCCATTGGCCGGTGCGTTCTGCGTTGTTTCAAGACGGCGGACAAGCCACGTAGCCGCGCGTCTGATTGGCTGCTCTGAGAGATCCTCGATCTGTGTCTAAATCCCGATCGCATGGTTGCTTCTTTTTAACTACTACAGGGTAGTACTGTTAGTCGTTGAATCATGACGATGGATGATACCGTTCCCTCGCCAAGCCTGCTCGCTCCTTGCAGACCACGCTCCCCGCGTGAAGCAAGGACCTTACAGCGTACAATAACGATGCTATTCGCACTTTCAAGGGCATAGATTTAAGGCTCTCGATAGAGAGGTTGGGGATGGCAGCTACACTGCCCTTGAATACCGTAACTAGGGATCGAGTGTCGCTTTCAGTCAACCCTGCCAGCCATGGCATCTCAGAATTAAAGTGATGAAATAAGCTTAATGTCGTTGCGGTATCCCATGACTCGTCAAAGCACTGATCCTATGTACGCGTATATACTATTTATCGCCCCATCCAGCCACCGTCCACTGTAACCACCTCGCCAGAAACATAGTTACTGGCCTCGCTGGCAAGGAAGATGACTACCCCTTTGAAATCCTCCGGTTTGCCCCATCGACCGGCTGGAATCCGAGCCATGATGCCAGCGTTGCGATTGGGGTCATTGATCAGAGCCACGTTCATGTCCGTGTCGATGTACCCAGGGGCGATGGCGTTCACGTTGATGCCCTTGGCCACCCATTCGTTGGACAGGGCCTTGGTCAATTGTGCGATGCCTCCCTTCGATGCCGCGTACGCGGGAACCGTGATTCCACCCTGGAAACTAAGCAGGGAGGCCACGTTGATGATGGTGCCCCGTTTACCCGTTGGGAACTCGGAGGCGTCTCGAGACAACAAGTAGGCACCGAATTCGCGAGACAGAGTAAACACGGAGGTAAGGTTGACTTGCAGGACCTACAGCCGCATAAACGTGAGTTCTGGAACTGCTCAAGCGCAGTGGGACTCATATTATATGGATATACTCACCTCATCCCAATCCTCATCTGGAAACTTCTCGCTAGGATGTCTCCTCTGGATTCCAGCGCAGTTGAGCAGAATATCTGGCTTCACTCCTAGCTTCAGGACAGCAGGAATGATTCCCTTGACCGCTTCCCGGTCAGAGAGTTCGGCTACATGGATCCATGCTTTCCGTCCAATGCGGTTGACGATCTCGTCGCGGGTTGCCGTGTTGGATTCATCTCTCTACTTTGACAGCACACGTTAGCTTGCTCCAGCAAATTATCACCACCATAGCAATCATTAGTTGCACGTGATAGAAGATCAGTTTTGTCGCTGTGGGTATTGCAAGGATTCTGCCAGCAAAAACTGAAACAAATCCGTCAAGAACTTATGAAATGCCGCGCAGAATAGTGTGACGACAAAAATGAAAACCAGCGTGGAACTCACCTGCACCAGCACAATGTCTGCTCCAGCCTCTGCGAGGGCAATTGCCATCGCCTGACCGATTCCGCGTGTGCCTCCGGTTACAAGCGCGGTCTTGCCGCTCAAGGAGAAGAGTGAAGGGAACGAAGACACCATTTTGCTTGCTTTTTCTCGACTGAGAAAATGTCGAGGGCAAGACTAAGATAGACAGCGAGTTCCCTCTACCAGATAGCCCAGATACCGCTGTGGACTGCCCGTATTCGTGAGAAGTCTTTTTGAAACGAATCGATGGTCGAGTCTAAGGGCAGAGATGTTGTAAAGAGTGAAAGGAAAGAAAAAAGGTCAATCGATGTCAAGAAAGAATGTCAAGGCAGCCGATTCTTCTGATCGATGTTCTTGTCGGCTTATACCGTGCCCCTCACGTATATACGGAGGATGCACGGTATGTTTGTACTGTAAGATCAGCTCAAGAAGAACGCTCCACTGCTAAAGTACTCCGTAAAATAACGCAGTCTATAAATCAATGCCGCTCAGCGACTCTACGTAATAATACTCCGTACACGTCTCTAGAAAATATCTGTTGTCATCTGTTGTCCCACGTGGCCGTGCGGGGCAGTGTCAATTGCCGGTCAATACCCGACAGCGGGGAGGACGTGTCGGCTAATGACCACACACGGCAATTGAAGAACCAACTCATTTGCCGTCGGCTTTCAAAGACTCGGCCAAACGTTTTCCCTGCAATCCAATCAGGGCCTCCGTAATTTCTGTACAATACGGAGTCTGGAATCGCTGTATTGGGGCACTGCATAGTATATATCTGCTCGTGTGATCGTGTCTATGGGGAGAATCTCTCCTTGAACTGAAGAGAAAAACTTGCTTCTGCACATCACCACAGATCAGCAGATGGCAATTCCCAAAACCCATAATGCTGCCCACTGTACTCCGTATTCTGCGTAGAACATTTTATGATTTCCACGCGATCTATAGAAAGTCACTGGTGTCCGTTCAATGCTCAACGAAGCTGGACTGTCTTCAGTGAATTATGTGGAATGACTTTTCATTCGTTGGAAATGACTAACAAAAAAGTAAAATTTAATCGAAGAAGCGAAGAACCAGGCTCGTGCAGTTCCAGATCCAAAGCCCCAAGAAACGGGGGAGGCTGACACAAGTGTGGGGAAAGACTTCAACTCAACCACCCAAAAAAAGCTCACATGGTTCTTCCCCCATTGTCAGCTCTCAGCAAAACCGGAGATGGTCCGCTGAGTCGAAATACCAACAGGACTCACTTCGAATCGCGGCGTCACACTTCATCCACCGTTGATGCCATTCGAGATCGCGTGTGGTCCGCTGGTCCTGGTCGCTCGCCTGGCCGGTTCTCCAGGTTTCCGCGACAGATGCGATTGTCTCATCGCCACAGACGCCAGCAACGTCGCAGCGCAAGATGCTGCTTCCGCGCGAATCACACTTGATCTGATACTCTAATACGTGTCAATTTAGTCCCCAATCACGATGGGCCAAGAAAAGCAGACTTCAGTCGCAAAGCCCAGGCCCAAGACCGGCCCGACCCAGCGCGTCTCGAGAGCATGTCTACACTGTCGGCAGCGCAAATCTAGATGCGACCTGTACGTTGAACTCCACTTTTATCCCCCCTGCATTCTGCCACGGTTAACTGAGAACTCCCAGGGACAGCAGCGGCAATCCGGGAAAGCCCCCTTGCCAGCGGTGTATTCGAGAGGGTCGCGAATGCGTCTTGGGCAGCTCTAACAGAGGTGGTCGACGAATCCGCAAAAATAAGATCGCCAATGTCACAGCCAGCACCGAATCATCGGCCCGTCAAACGGTCCAGCCTGATTCTCCTTCGACTTCTGCGCCATCGGACAGCCGTTCATTCTCAACACCTCAGTATCCGGGTCCGGATATTTACGTGAACCCCAATGCCGCAACGACGGATCTGGGAACTGCGAATGACGATGATGCGGCGTCTACCACCGACAGTGCCATCGACTCGGCGGTCCCGAGGAATCCATCCGACGCATGGCAATGTCTAACCGGGATCGCGAAACGAGGTGGCGAAGGTACAGATACACGCCTTGGGCAGTACTCTTCTGGTGGTACCAGTGGCTTATCAGCTGTCAATGGGATCGAGGCAGCTACAAATGGCTTGCGGACGAATCCTACTGGTATCAAGGCATACAAACTCGTCCAGAACGGCTCTTTGGACCCGGAATTGGTTTTCCAGCTGGTGACGCGTTATGGGGAGAACTTCCACCCTTATCTTCCCTTGGTGCCGAGAAAGTACTTTGATCGCAGCAATCTCGATGCATTTGCGACCAACGAGAAGCATTTACTCACTGCCGTGCTTACGATTGCTTCCAAAGACTTGGTAGATACACCGCACGTCCACGAATATTGCTCCAAGTACATGCATGAGCTGATCTCGGGAATTGCTGCTGGTGCGGACTGCGACGTGGAAGCGGTTGAAGCCCTGCTCCTCCTGGCGGAATGGGAGCCGCAGGGCCTCCGCCCCCGAGTCGAGCGTGTTGGAAGAGGCGAGGAGGATCGCGCCGCATGGATGCATGTTGGTCTCGCTTTGCGTTCCGGGTATTTTCTGGGGCTCGACCGCACGTCCTTCCGGGGCGATCCTGCAGGAGACGCCGAGACCGATGCACGCAAGAGACTGGCGTGGACCAGCTGCTACATCTCGGATCGACTCATCTCGGTGCGGATCGGGCGTGCCTTTTGGTCCCGAGGACCGGGCCCGATGACGGGGTTCGTGAGTCAGGACTTTCCGTCCCTTCAGCCTGTCAAGGAGGGAGATGAGGACTATGCGAAGATCATCCAGGCCACCTTGGACCTCACGCAGCTGTATGGCAACGTGCATGATGTGTTGTATTCCGGGATGCGCACGAGCAGCCAGATGATGCTCATGGGAGATTATGTGAAGTATGCCGATGATTTCCGCGTTGCGATCTCGCGGTGGAACCGGGTCTGGGGTACCTTGGCTTGCTCTCCTCGGATCAAAGTGACATTGCAGATGTCCTACGAGTATTTGCGACTCTACACCAATGCTTTCGCATTCCAGGCGGCCATATCTCAGGCATTAGTGACGAAACCAAAGGGCGGGGACGCTCATTCTCAGAGAGAGCACTTGAGGGCGGCTTTCAGCAATGTGGCCTCGATGCCCGACGCTCGATTTATCTATGAATCCGTGGATGCGGCGAAAGCGTATCTGACCATTCTTGTCACCTACGTTGATCCGGAGAAGCATCTCCATTTCATGCCGCTCCGATATTATCTGTAAGATCTACGATGCCCACTCGTTGTGGTTGGTTCTAACACTGTGGTAGATACAGCATTTACGCTGCTGTTTTTCTGTACAAGGTAGGACACTTTCCATTCGCGTCATCGATGGTGTACACTAACGGGGATTTTCGATGGCAGGCCCGATCTTTCGGGGTCATGACTGCGAATGAGGAAGTGGGAGTGCGGGAATTGGTATCTCGCACAACAGAACGGCTGAAGCAGGCGAGCGCTGGGCCTGATGATATAGGATCCAGGTATGCGCGTCTGCTGGAGCTTCTGTGGAAGCCCAAATCCGCGCCGTCCACGACGTCGACCGAAGCCCGGCCCAACAACAAGGATATGCAGATGTCCAGTAGTAGCTTGCCCAATTGTGTTCCGGAGCCGACATACATGCATTTCAGCCCGGCGAACGATTTTTCTTGGCTCGATCTGGAAGCGGTCGGCGACTATGTTTCTGGAGATCAGATCCCTGGGGCAGGCGTCCTAGGGTTTGACGCCTACCAGAACTCGAGCATGTATAACCCCGGGCAGTCTCGTCCTGAGACGTGGCAGACTTCATTCTGGACCGGCGATATGACGAACAATCTTCTGTTTTAGGCCCGCAATTTTTTTTTCTTATTTTTTTATGGCCAGTTGTCTCGACGACATTGAGTCTGCTCGCGTGGTCTGCCCGCCGGAGGATCTCCGAGCGGCAACCACGCGGGGGAGTGGGGTATGGAGCTCCGCTATAATATTAGCCGAGTGTCACCCGCATACCTGCGTCGCAAGAGTCGAGTATTCCATCTGCTGATTGACGACAGCTGTCGGTGCTTGCTT